AGTGTGCTCTGGGAATTTCTTATCTGCAGAGAATTAGCAGGGACCTGGGGTGAGGGGAAAGGACTTGCACAGGCAGGCAGGCAGCTTTGACTAAGTCCTGACAGCGAGGGAGGAAGCAGAGAACCTCTGAAAATGTTAACATAAAATCATAGTTTACGCCAGGCATGGCAGCACATGCCTGTCATCCCTGCACTCAAGGAGGCTGAGGCAGATTGCTATGAGTTCAAGGCCAGCCTGGGCTACACAGTGAGTTCAAGATTAGTCTGGACTACATAGTGAGACCCTGTCTCAAAAATTTTTTTAAAAAATTTATAACTTAGCATGCATAAGACCCTGGTTTCCCCAGCACCGAGGAGGGAAATAAAAGATAACAGTGGAAAGTCCAAGTACTTGGAGTGATCCCTGGACTATGGATAAGAAGGATATGATGGCTTCTGAACACTGCTGCATTTTGGTAATGTTTCTGCCCCAGAGGATAAATAGTGCCCTGCCCAGGCATTCTTGTCTGCAAGGCTGTTGCTGCCCATGCAGAAAAGATCATGTCATCAGGAGTGGCCTGGGAAGGGGCTGGAAGGCAGGCCAGAGCACCAGATGTGGTTCCCACCACAATCCCAGCCTATTTTTTTTGCTGAGGAAGTAGGAGGGACAGGCAAGGCTGGGCAGGGACCAAAGGTCCTGAGTGTCAGTGCTATTTAATCACAGCCTGGAAAGGTGGTTTGCAAAGGTGATACAGGCCCGGAGTCATCTGCTGCAATTTGATCCCCTCCTTGCTTCCTCATGAATCTCTAAATAGAGCCTCCAGGGTGGAGCCTGGTGCAGACAGAGACTCCCACAGGATTAATCACACCCTGACTTAAGGCCGCAGGCTAGGCCACGGCCTCTGCTGAGCCTTGGGGACCCCAAGGACATGTACCACCTGTCCAATTCCATCCCTACAGGCCTTCAGATCTGCAGCATGCCTTGTGCTGGGGACTGGGAGGGCAGAAGGGTTTGCCGAGGTCCTTACCCAGGAGGAAATTAGGGAACAGTGCACATGTGCACACACACCAGTCCTGGAAGACAGCTCTGAGCTCTGGCATGTACTAGCTCGTTTCATCTCACAGCAGCTCTTAGGGAGGAACGATCAGTGTCCCCACTTTAAAGGTGGGAGAACTAAGGAACAGAAAGGCTAAGTAACTTCCTCAAGAGTGCCCAGCTAGTTAAAGCCCAGCAGCCTGGCCTGGACCTGGTGTTTTTAACCACCTGCCCTCCTGTTTCTTCCAGAAATGACAAGGAGAGAGCCTCCCCTGAGTAGGTGAGAGGACTCACCAGAGGCATGACATCCTGGTGTTTTCTTGTCCCACGGACCAAATTTGGTAACAAGAAGCAATGTAGAGTTATCTTATGTCAGGTTCCTGTTCATCCTACAACTGAAAATAGGGCCCCATAGGCCCTAAATCTGGGACTTCTAGATCACTAGACTGCTGGAGCTGGGAGGGACCTGGAGATAATCTGGTGCAGTGACTTGTGTCAGAGAAGCCACCTAGAAAGGCTCAGTGACACCACTGGTTCTCCGCACTGGTTGGGGGCAAGAATGGGGCCAGCTCAGGTCTCCAGTCCCTGCCTCTGACTTCCCACTGTTGTGACCATCTCTTTCTCTGCATCCTGAAAAGAACCAGACATCAAATCAGATTCTGAGCAGTGTCCTGGAGAGCCAGATTTCCCCATGATGCTAAATCTGGGGTTTAAAATGGGTAAGAGTCTATGACAGATCCTATTCCTCACCTTGGGTGGGCTCTGTGTTGACTGAAGGTAATAAAACCATCAGGGCTCTTCAAGGACTGTGAGAAAGCAGGTAGTGTCACCTGCCTGAACAGGCGGTCCAGCCAGGTCTGCACTGCTCCTGGGCCCCAACCCCAGCTCATCTTTTGTGGACAGATCTTATGCATGCCCCCTGTACACATGCTATGACCCATCTGAGAGTGGGGACCAACCCTACCCTTCCCTGTGTTCAGTGAACTTAGAAGATGGGAAGGAGAGAGCAAAGATAGAGACAGGTTTCATCCAAGTGGGAGTGTTTGAGATCATTCATATTGCTGGCAAATGTGGCAATAGCAGTCTGGAAGCCTTTGTGTCTCGGTCCCCGTCCGGTCTCCCCCCCCCCCTTTCAGGGCAGGACTTCCCCTCACTCCAGGTGGCTGGGCAGTGACCAGGAAAGGGCGTGGTGTGCCTGTCCTCATTCTTATTGAGCACTAGGGAAACTTTGATCCTCTGAGCTACAGGGACAATGGAATCCCCCAGAGAGTCCCTAATGCTGGCCTGCCCCTGCTCTGTCCACATTCCCCTCCCACCTGGTTCTAGGCCCCCCCTTCCCCAGGGCTGAAAGGGTGCAGGCAGGGTCTCCCACCTTTTTCTCTGCCACATACCCACTGCTGGTGCATAGCTTGGCTTCTGCTGGGGACCAGGATTTGCTTAGTAATTCCTGAACAAGACTGGCCAAATGCTTATTGTGTGCCCACCTGTTTTTTACTCCACCAAACTTACCCACAGGAAGGTACAGTACTAGAATTATCCCCCCTTTTATAGCAGGGCGAACCAAGAGATTGACAGGTGCAAGGTCACTCAGCACTTGCCAGAGTCAGAATCGGAACCCAGGAGGTCTGGCCTAGCATGCCTAGCACAGCCCTCCTTCCTGGAGCACATGGCTCCAATGCTGCACTGGGCATGGGGTGCAGCCAGAGACCTGCTTTCATCCACAAGGGGTAGCTTGTCACCCCTCGGGAATGCTCCCAGTATTGGCAGGAAACACCCTCTCCTATTTTGCAGGGAGGTCAAGTCCAGAGCAGGGTGGTGTTGTGGCTGGGGTCTGTCTCTCTGTGTCCCTGATTAAGGAAGTATGCCCCCCAAAACAATTCCGCAGTGGCCTAGCCTAACCAGTCCCTGCTATTCCCTGACAGAGATGGGATGACATTTCAAAACCACTTTAAGGATGCATGAGTGGTTAAGGGAGCAGAGGCAGGATGGAAACCATGTCCTCCTCTGGAAGGACACTTAACGCAGCCCCTGCAACCCTGACCTCCCTCCTCAGCCCAGGTGTCCCCTGCCTCTCTCTCTGGAATGTCTGCACACAGCTCACTGTCCCTTGGGCAACAGGACTGAATGAATCCCGGGCCCTGGAGGCAGACAACCCTTTTCTCCCATATGTTGCTCACTGTCTATGCCACCTTGAGCAAGGCCTCAACCTCAGCCTCTGCTTCCTTCTCTTTGCCTGGGAATGATAGCAGTGCCTGCTTCATGGAGTTACTGGTGAGGTGTCCTGATCACCACTGCTGGGAGGGTGTGCAGCATGTCTGGCATGTGGCAGGCATCCCATAAACAGAAGTGGCTGCTGCTGCCTTGGAAGAGATCCATATCTCACTTTTAATACCTTGTAAGACTGCAGTATCTGTCATCTGAGATGAGAACGCGTGATCTCTGTAACAAAGGTGGAAGCTGGGCCCGGAGAGCCGCAGGGACTTGTCCAAGGATACAGCCTCAGCCTTCAGGTCCTCTCGCTCCATCCCTGCCTTAGAGCCTGTGGTCCCTTCATCTCTCCCAGTGTTGATAATTGATGAGGTCCTAGGAATTTGCTGTGAAAACTGGGAAAAGGTAGACACTTGTGTGGGATATTCACAGCTACTGCTGTCACCCTAGAAGATCCAGGAAGACAATTTTACTTTTTTCTTACTCTTTTCTTTTTCAGTGCTAGTCATCAAACCCACAGGTGCCTTATCCCTGAGCTACACACTGCCCTTTTTATTTTTTATTTTAAGCAGGATCTGGCTAAGTTGCCCAGGCTAGTCTTGAATTTTGTCCTGAGTAGCTGGGATTGCAGGTGTGTCCTACAGTGCCAGGCTGGATGAGGCTTCTTAATCCTGGTGTTCCAGGAACCCTGGTGAGGCCACAGGTTGCTGAAGACCTTGGAGTTTTGTTTTTTTGTGTTTTTTTGCTCACAGTAATGTGATAGGCACAAACTACAATGCTCTGGGTTCCACACAGTTACAAGTTCCCTGAAGAAGGTACACTTTAGAAAATGTGCTTTCGTATGAGCGCTTACAAAGTTCTACTGGCAGGTCTAAAATCTACCATAACTTTTAAAAGTGATGAGTTTAAGTAGCATTCAGAGAACTCTTTTTGGGATTGGGTCTAGTCAGTATTGGTGACAAACCCACATATCCCACCACTATGGTTTGTTTCTTACCTTCATCCTTGAATGACGTGGCCAGTTTCTGTCAGAAGTTGGTGACAATTACAGTGTGGTTCCTCCATCTCAGATGATTGCATTGTTCTTCCACATCCAGCCTCCTCTGTGTCTCTCGGGCCTATTGAAGGAGAGGAGAGCCCAGGGCACCCTCCGTCTCAGTCCTGTTCATATGCACGTCTCTCAGGACTCTCAGGGAATAGGTTTGGGTGTTCATCCACCCATTCCTCAGTAAACACTGAGGACCACCTCTGTGCCAGGCCCAGTGACAAATGGAGTTATCCAGTCAGAGAGAGGATCCTGCCTTCTGGTGCTCTTGGGAAGAGCAGGAGGGGACTCGCTGTTCCACAGTGTATAGTGGGAGTCCAGCAGGAAAGCATTTGCGGCTCACCACAGACAACCCCTAGCAACAATGAGGTTGGGGTTGGATGGTTGCTCCCAGCCAGGGACACCACGTGTCCATTGCATAGTCCTTGTGCCTGGCACCACATAGCACCAGACATAGAAACTCCACACCCCCCTTTTCCAGCACTCTCCCTCCTGTGCTGGTGTCCTTAAGAAATCAATGCACAAGAGGGACAAAAGATAGGGAACAGAAGTCCGTTCCCTCCCCTTCCATGCCTGTGCCTTCTTAGGACAGGGCTGGCATCCCTCAGTTTGATCCCGGGTGCTAGTATACTGCAGCACTTTGTGCTGGGCAAATTTTGGACAAGAGGGAGAGGGTGGCAGGAGGGCCAGCCCCAGTGCCCTCTGGTGACCAACTTCCTGTCTTCTCTTGCAGGCACCAGAGTGCTGGGAGAGATGGATAAGCCCCTGATCAGCCGCCACCGGGTGGACAGTGATGGGAGCCTTGCTGAGCCCCCCAGTGGGGCCCCTAAAGTGGGCATTCTGGGCAGTGGCGACTTTGCCCGCTCCCTGGCCACACGCCTGGTGGGCTCTGGCTTCAGCGTGGTGGTGGGGAGTCGTAACCCCAAACGCACAGCTGGGCTGTTCCCCTCATCAACCCAAGTGACCTTCCAGGAGGAGGCAGTGAGATCTCCAGGGGTCATCTTTGTGGCTGTGTTTCGGGAGCACTACTCCTCACTGTGTGGCCTCAGTGACCAGTTGGCCGGCAAAATCCTGGTGGATGTGAGCAACCCTACAGAGCAGGAGCACCTCCAGCATCGCGAGTCCAATGCAGAGTACCTGGCCTCACTTTTCCCCACCTGCACAGTGGTCAAGGCCTTCAATGTCATCTCTGCCTGGACCCTGCAGGCTGGCCCAAGGGATGGCAACCGGCAGGTAGGTCCCAGCAAAATCATCAACTTCATAACGATAAATATAAATGGCTCATTTTCCTTGAAGGCCATTAGCAGGACAGCTTTATTTAATGTGTGTATTATCTCAGCTAATGTCATGTCACTGCAAAATTCCTTTTTACAGGGCAGGAAACTGAGGGTCAGAGATATTAATGATCATGCCCAAGAACTCACAGCTGCTGAGTTGGGATTTGAGTCCAGTTCATGTGGATCTAAACCTATGTTCTTTCTGCTAAAGGGTTAGGTTTGCTAGGGGCTGAAGAGGAAAAGGTAATGAATGGGTTTTTGACTATTTGAAGTCAGGGAGAGACTTTGTAAAATTGGACTCAGAAAGAAGAAATAAGATGCCAGGCCCTAAGGAAGACAAGGAGGTGTCAGATTTTATTTGGTTAATTCCAAGAGCTTCTAGGAACTGAGTGGATTTCTCAGAACAGCCAACAGCAAGTTTTCTGGGGCTGGAAAGTGGCTCCACAGCACAGCCAGTGTTGCATACACTTCTTAGCAAAAGGAGTTTCCCCCAAACAAGATGGTGTTTAATGCCAAAGACCTCCTGCCCCTTCCTGTGGAAGACTGTCAGATCTACACATACACATCCAGGAAGTGCAGGCAGGTGCTGGCCTCCAGAGGAGACTCCAGAGGAGCTCCCTAGCTCTGGCTTCAGGGCCTGGAATCTGGCTACATCCTGGGGCTCCCATGTGGGGGCTGGCTGGGGCCAGGGCCAGTTGGAGAAGACTTGGAGGTGGGCTTGGACCTGGGATCACCTTGTGATAGGCTCAGGGATCAGGGAGGGCATTCTAGGATAAGGGGATGATCTATAAAGGCACAGAAGTACGACACAGTGATCCCAGGCCTGTTTCTTCATCTGAAAAATAAGGACAGGAGTACCCACCTGCAGGCCAAGGAATCATATGTATGAAGCCTGGATCAGACTGGTCCTCAGGAAGTACTGGGGACCAGACCAACTGACTCTAGCAGAGTCACACGGCCCACAGAGTGCCTGGAGGTATGAAGACACCCGTGCACTTGCAGTAGGAGCTCATGAGGAATACTGGCTACCGGGCTGAGAAGGCAGGCAGGTCTGGCTGGCGGAAGGTTCCCTGTGGATCTGCACAGAACCCCTTTGCACCGAGTGACAGCAGTGCAGCAAGAGCTGCATGTCCCTGGCTCTGTGCAAACCTGTGATTGAGCAACTCCTGGAGCAGGCCACAGTTCGTGGAAGCAGCCATTCCAAGAGCCAGGGGGCTTCTTAGAGGGGCACATTGCCATGGCTGTTGTCAGCGACTTGGACGGGATACTCACTGTGAGTTGTGGGCCCTACTGGGCACACAGGACCAGGGGCCAAAGGCTACCAGCACCCTGAAAAAGCCCTGGCCTGGGAGTAAGAGCCTCCCTGTGCTCCCAGCTGCACCATCTCCTGGAAGCTCACTTAGACAAGGCTCTGGGCCTCAGTTTCCTCACCTGCTCAGTAAGTTGAACCTGTGTGGTTGTGAGGCCCTGCCCTGTCCAGGGACCTGTGACTCTGCTCAATGATCCTTTTCTTTCTCTGCACAGGTACCCATCTGCAGTGACCAGCCAGAAGCCAAGCACATCATCTCAGAGATGGTTCACGCCATGGGCTTCATGCCCTTGGACATGGGCTCCCTGGCATCAGCCCGTGAGGTAGAGGCCATGCCGCTGCGCCTCCTGCCAGCCTGGAAGGTGCCCGCGCTCCTGGCCTTAGGGCTTTTTGTGTGTTTCTTTGCCTACAACTTCATCCGGGATGTGCTGCAGCCCTACGTGCAGGAGGGCAAGAACAAGTTCTACAAGCTGCCCGTGTCCGTGGTCAACACCACGCTGCCGTGCGTGGCCTACGTGCTGCTGTCGCTGGTATACCTGCCTGGTGTGCTGGCGGCTGCCCTGCAGCTGCAGCGGGGCACCAAGTACCGCCGCTTCCCCGACTGGTTGGACCACTGGCTGCAGCACCGCAAGCAGATCGGCCTGCTCAGCTTCTTCTGCGCCACGCTGCACGCGCTCTACAGCTTCTGCCTGCCCCTGCGCCGCTCCCACCGCTATGACTTAGTCAACCTGGCCGTCAAGCAGGTGCCACCCTTGCCCTCCTCCTTCCTGTCCCTCCACACACACCCGGAGCCAGGTGCAGACTGTGTTCCAGTAGGGCAGTGCCCCTGCCCTACAGTCCAGAGTTCTGAGTCTCACGGAGTAGAGCAGAGGAGGACCCCCATCCTCTTGAGCACAGACTTACAAAAGACTCAGTTGAGCGAGAACAGACCTGTAGCAGATCATGAGCAAAGCAGAGCTGGGATGGTAGAGGGGGCGGGGGAGGGTCTTGCTGATGAGACACAGGTGAGAGTGAGCTGGCAGTGCTGCAGACCAAACGGGCAGCAAGAACAGGGCCCCCAGGTGACAGCAGGCCTGGCATTCAGGAGGCCTGAGGCACTGGACCTGAGGGAGCCAGTGGAGGCCATGGCCTGAGAGTTAGAAGCCACACTGGGGCCTTCGAGGCTAAGCAAGGCCTTTGGCCATAGTTCCTGAGGGACCCAGGGAGCCGGTGAAGGGTTTGAGTTAAACACTGATGATCTGCCTGATACTCTTACCTGGCTCACTCTAGCTGCTGGGCTTAGCAGAGACAAAGAGGTTGAAGGCAGACACTCTGGGACCAGGAAGAAGCAGGGACCAGGAAGGAGGCAGTGTCAGAACCCACTGGGAGGCTGGGAGGCTGGGAACAGGACGGGAGCAGCAGCAGGGCTAGATGCTGTCGAAGCCTGCTTTGAAGCTGGAGAATGTGGACGTGGTGATGTGATGGGCACAGGATGGGCAGGTGGTCATGGGTGAGTCTGGGCTCTGGTCTGTACTCTTGGGAGGACAGAGCTGCCATCACTGACATGGGGAGGCCTGAGGGGTGGGTGATTCTGATGATGGGTTTTTTATTTGAAGGGTGGTGGGTGGCATTATTTATTCATTTAGAAAAGCCATACGGTACTCCTTCACCAGCAGCATTCCTGGGAAATTGAGGGCCATCAGGCCATGCCAGGTGGGAACAGAGACTGCGTTGGCTGGCAGCTGTGTGCACAGAAATTAGCGTTAAGCTCCCTTCTGGTTTCCAAGCAGGAGCTTAGGGCTGAGTCCTGGGCATTAGTCCTGCCCATCGTGGCAGCACAGGTCAGCCCAGATGCCCATTTCATCCTCCCTCAGTCCAGGCTGGTGGCACTGCAGCGCCTCATCCTGCTAAGGACGTGGGGGCCTCCCTGTGCACACCTGTCATGTGGCCAGCCCCACACAGGAAGGGGACCAGTGGGCAAGGCTGGGCTGGGCCCGGGAACCTCAGACCTCTGCCCCAGCTGATTCCAGGCTCTGCTTCCCAGCTGGCAGCTTTGCAGAGGCCCCCATCTCCCCACCCACAGACACCTGGCATCACCGCCTCTGTGGGCTTCAGCTTTCCTAAGAGAAAGCAAGAGCCCGAGACATCAGGTGCAGGCACAAGATGCCTGCTGAGAATGAGAGGAAGGGAAAAAATAGTCAGGAACCCTTTAAAAAGAGCCCGATGTGTTCCAGGTACCATTCAAGATCTTTCCATATCTATTCTGAATTCATTTAATGTCCTTCCCATTTTGTAAGGCAAGGGCAGTACTACCCTCAATTCACAGATGAGAAAACAAGGACACAGAGAAGTTATTCCTTGACCAAAGTCATTCAGACAGTAAGTAGCAGACCTGGGGTTCAGAACCAGCCGTTCTATTCCAGATCCATGCTTGAACACATTCTACTTTCTAAAGGAAAACAAGGCCAAATTACCAATCCAGCTAATGGTCTCGGAACTCAGGTCATTAGTCCATTTACTCATTTATTGGGCACCTGCCCTGCCAGACCCTGCAGCCATAGACAGGCCTAAGACATAATCTCACCCCTCAGCCAGACCTGGGAATTCTTGTCTCGAAGCATCACTGATTAGAACAGAGATACTGACCTGAAACAAGTTCCAGGCCGTCTCTGTCCTCGGGCCCCTGATGTGTAGCTCAAGGTCTCTCCTAGTGCTAATGTATTTGATGTTCTTTGGTGATGTTTCCCTACTTGCTTCTAAAAAACAAAAAAGCTAGCCTGCTTGAAGGAGGCTTTTGGAACTCCTGGGGTACTGGGACTGCACGTGTGGCCCTCTGCTCTGAGTTGGTGGCTGTGTCATTCAGTACTTGGGAAGAAGGTGACACCATCCACCCACAGGGCACAAGACTAACCACTACTCCTCTCCCATCCCTGAGGACAGCTGCTCAGCTGCCTTTCTCTAAACTCTCCACCCTCCTAGGCTCTCCTTGATATCTTGTTAGCTCACTTCTGCCCCGGCACCAATGCCTGGACACGGGAAAGATGCCTCCCTGGGTTCCAAAGCCCTTTTGGGCTGTAGATGCCAGTCTAGGTTGCCAGGCAACCGTGCCTCCCATAGGACGGCTCACTCTCAGAGGCAGTGTAGAAGGCTTGTCTTGCAAAAGTCCTTTGCTTGCTCTGCAGCGTTCTCAAGGGCAAAGCCTGGGAGCACAGGTTTAACACACAGCAGCCCAGAATGAGGAAGGGGGTGTTAAGCAGATACTACATAGTCAGACTGGCTGTGCCTTCCCAGCAGGTCCTACAGTGGTCCCCACTAGAGGGGCTACTTCACCCACCTGTACTCTCCCAGCTGCCCATTGGGCTCTTTGAGTAAGGGCTCATGTTAACCTGGGCACAGGAACCTCCTCCAGGGTTTCCTTTGAGCCTCGACTCTACAGACATCAACACAGATCTGTGTTCCGGCTGTAGAGAAAACTTTTGAGATGTTTGTGGGCCATAGTATTACCAATAACTGACGTTTGTATGGCCCTTGCTGGTTTATTTGTACTGTTCCGTAGAGGTGCATTTCAAGATCAACATCAGCTACACTATTTTACCCGGGCACTGTTTTCCCAGTCCCCTCATCCCAATCTAATTTGTACAGGACTATCAGAGACCAGTCTAACTCTCAGCTAACCAGGTCACCCTGAGAAGCAGACTCCCTGCTGTGCTCGATATATTGGAGACCTTCAGGGTAAGGCCATGTTCCCTTTCCAAACTGATCTCCCCACTTGTCCTGTGACCTATCACACTTGGTTCCTGGACTGGCCATTGGATGGCCAAGCTTATTCATCTTGGCCTCGAGTACTCACACTAGGAAAGCTTGACTTTGGCAAACTCTCATTCCTCCCTCAAAACCCTGCTTCTGTAAAGATTCTCCAAGCCTATATCCCCAAACCCCATGCCCACCTCTGTAAATTACTGTATTTTGTACACTTTTCTATTGTTTTTCTAATATACCACTCGATCTGGCTCTTCTACACCTTAAGGTCCAGGATTCCTAATACAGTGTCCTTCCCGGTGTATGCCCAGTTCATGACTATGAAATTGGTTACCTTTTGAGGCTGCCTTTTGCCAATATCAGGAATCTCTTAAGAGTGTACATAGACCTGGGGGCAAGAACTTGGTTAACTGCCCAGCTGCCTCTGGAAAAAACAGCACCAGCCATTTATTATATTAAGCACCTATTATGTGCATGTCATATGTTGCTTATTTTACAAACAGTACCCTTTTGGATTTGGTTTTGGTATTTTCTTTTATTCATTCATTCTTTCTTTTTTTCAAGACACTCATTAATTTGCTCTCACTGGTCTTGAACTTGCAATCCTTCTGCCTCAGCGTCTTGGATATGTCAGAACAGGCAAACATCATCCTATTACAGTCCGTTAAGTAACACAGCCAGAGAGAGATGGTGGTACTGCTAGCAAGATAACAGTTACCCCGTGGTGAATTGCCTGGGTCTCAGGACTGCCAGGAAAGAGCTGGCATCAGAATCCAATGTGAAATGACACATTGGCTGCATTCTCCAGGCTGCTCTTGCACTCCCTGCCCTTCCTGCCCTTCCTGCCCTTCCTGCCCTTCCTGCCCTGTGTTGGGAGACTGGGCTCAGCTCTCTTCCTCACCACTGCCCACCATGGCGACTGGGAGAAGGGGTGGTGCCACAGCCTTGCGCCCCAGCCCGAGGTCCTGCAGTGTTAGCCTGCAGCCCAACCAAAAAGGAAAAGCTCCCCAAGGATGCCATCTTTCCATCTCTGGCTGATGACCACTCCCCTACAGCGGGAAAAATACCCCTCTGTGGTCTTCTCCTGTGAAGATCGAAACACACATGACCACCCCATCCTTTGATCTGCCGTAGACAGGAGAGCATCCCCAAGGGAGTAGAGGCTGTTAGCTCCCGGGCAGCATGTGACACTGGTACCCAGACCTGGCCATCCAGCGCTTCTTACCTTCCCCTGCTTTCCAGCATCACCTCAGAGAAGGACTATCAGGAAAACCAAGCCATTGTGAAAGCCCATGTGTGCAGCTGTGCAAACCCTGACTTATGACTTAATCGCCTGATCTCACCCAAACGCAGCTAGGAAGGACTAATGAAGTAGAACTGAATAGACAGCTTGCCACGTGGAGATGACTTACTTAGCAGTGGTTGTTAGTGCAGCTGAGAGTGAGTCTCTTAGGCACAGCTGTGGAGGGGACCCATGTCCTAGGCAGGTCCCCTTGGCCACACCTTCCTAACTAAAGCTACCCTTGCTGTTTCCACTACACAAAGCACAGGAGCAAGATGGTAAAGCTTCAGGCATGACATCTTCCAAATCTCCCAGGTGGGGAAACTGAGGCCCAGAGACACAGCTAGTGGTCAGGACAAGAAGCAAGGCCCCAGACTCTTGGTCCTTCTGAGGCTTAAAGATGCCAACATAAGCCAGCCTGCCCCACAGGGGTACAGTGGTGGTCACTGTTCACAGATTGCAGGCAGAGCGCCCAGTGCAGGGCGTTTTCTCGGTTTCTTTACACTTCCTCTCATAAACTTGCCCACTGCCTTTGCTGAGGCCCTAGATTAATTTTCATATTTTATCTTATAAGCGGGCTTAACTTTTTCTTTCCCTTCTGTAACCTTTTCTCAGAAAAAAACCCACAAGTCATCCTGTTTTGAGAGGCAGGGACCAGCCTCCTGAGGCAGAGTCATTTTCTCAGGGAGGTGCTGCCCTGGTAGAAGAAAACCACCAGTGATTCCCAGGGCTTCTCAGAGAGCACCCTGACTTCTAGGAGCTCAGCTCCTCGAGCAAGTGGGGAGGCGATGATCCCACTGAAGGGGCTGACGTGCTTTCTGTGTCGCCAGGCCAGAGGGCCCATCACGGGTGCTCCGGGTAGGTGGATGGGAATAGGTTCCCAGTCTTGCAAGAGCTCAGTGGGAGACCTCAGAGGCAGTGTTTGTTGCAGCCCCAAGCAAGCACACACAGTGGGTACTTTCTGGGTGCCCAGGAGCCCCGAAGTGAGTGGACGCCAGCCTGTGTTGGTCTCCACTGGGTGGCAGGGGTCCAGCTAAAGCTGTGCGCCCCAGCAGAACGATAAATGGGTGGGAAGTGAGAGGCTGGGGGCTTTGAGTTAGAAGTGCTGGATCTATTGAGTTAGAAGTCTGTGTGTGTCTTTGTGGGGTTTTTGTTTTAATCTTTTTCAGTTTTTTTATTAGAAAATGTTTGCATTACATTATGATTACTTTTTGGGGGGAGAGTGGGTACAGGTACGTAACACATCTTAATTCTTTTTTTCATTCCTTTTCCTCTCCCTCCATTGCTTGATACTTTTATTATTTAAATAAAATCTATCTCTTTTCTTTCTAATATCTGTGTTTTATTTGGCTCTTTAAGTTTTGAGTTGCTCATATAAGAGGAAACCATGCAGTATTGAAACCTGTGTATCTGATTTATGTTCTATTTCTTTTTTATCAGTACCGGGGATCGAACTCACGACTGCCTGCTTGCAAGGCAGGCGCTTATGCCGCTGAGCTAAATCCCCAGCCCCTGATTTATGTTCTAAAGATGCATCATTTTTCTTGGATGTGACAAGTTTATCCTTCTTTGTAGCAGAGTAGTACTCCATTGTATATAATTACCACTCTTTTTTTTTTGTACTGGGGATCAAACTCACGACCTCACATTTGCCAAGCAGGCACTTATGCTGCTGAGCTAATCCTCACCCCTGGCTCTACCACCTTTTCTTTATCCACTCATCTGTTGATGGACATATAGGTTGCTTCCAAGACTTAGCTATTGTGCTGTTATGAACATGGATATGCATGGTATCACTGTGGTATGATGTCTTTAGGTTTCTTGGGAAGATACTAGAAGGGGAATAGCTGGTTCTGATGGAATTCCTTATGTATCTTTGTGTGTTCTGAGCCAATGATAGGGCAGACTGAGGGACCAGGATGACAGGGGCCCACCTGCCTAATGGGGAGCTAGCCAGCAGAGCTGGCCTATCTGACTGAGGAATTCCAAGCTGGAAGAGCACCTCTCTGTTGTCCTGTGATATAGGGACCAGAAAACCATGTGGCACAGTCATACTTGGAGGATCTGTATTTCTTATCAACTTCCCTGATTCCTTATTTCAGCCAGTGTGTCCCTTCTGGCTAGCTGTCCCCCAGGCAGATGTGGGGGATCCTAGAGGAGCTCATGGACTTGGATTTGTACCTTGTATTCCTCATCCGTAGAATGGGTTAACAGTGATCCCTCCCTGTAGGGTGGGTGACTGCAAAATGAAATGGGCCAATAACACCTGAGCAACACTTTACACACAGCCAGGCGCTTGTTGGGTGTTAGGTGGGATGTGATAGGCAGTCCTGCCTGGCTGACCAGTCCCATGGGTCCCAGCTGCATCCACAATGCTCATGCCGTTCTTTACGTCCATGCCAGGTCTTGACCAACAAGAGCCACATCTGGGTGGAGGAGGAAGTCTGGCGCATGGAGATATACCTCTCGCTGGGAGTGCTGGCCCTCGGTACACTGTCCCTGCTGGCCATCACCTCACTGCCATCCATTGCAAACTCACTCAACTGGAGAGAGTTCAGCTTTGTGCAGGTAAAGCAGATGTCCCCAGAGCAAGTGAACCCAGCAAGGAGCCCACCCACCTGTCTGCGGAAGATGCTTTCCCCTCCCCTCCCCAAATTGCCTTGGTTTGGATCATGGGCACAGAAGGGCCCACCGCTTGGATGCTGGGTTTCCCATCCTCGGGGTCTTCTCAGCTTCCTGGTAAAGAGCTACCTGCACACATTCATTTCCGGACATCAGGGAAGCCAGATGAGAGGAATGTGGAAAAATAGAGAACTCTGGAGCCTGTGAGGCAGGTTCATATTCTGCCATCCTTGAGCTGTCCACCCGACAGTTTGGTGGTCTGGATGGGAGGCAGTGAGTATGTGAGCTTGGCTGGCCACCTGCACTGTCTTTTTAACCTGGTGCTCCTGTTCCCCTTAGCACAGTGGGGATGGGAGGTGAACATTATGGTCACTGTATAAAGGATGAGGCAGTGTTTTCCAAAGGACATCATCTCTGGAGAAATATCCAGAAGTAGGAGGGCTGGGGCAGGGTGTGTGGCTCAGTGGGCAAGCAGGTGCCCTAGCAGGACAAGGCCTGTGTTCCATCTCCAGTACCATAAAGAAATAAAAAAGCAGGTATGTCATCAAACATACTTGGGAAGACTTGCTTCCCCCTAAAAGGTTCCAGAAATGTCAACACCATCCAAATCTCTGTTCTCCAGACTGATTAAGTGTAGTCCTGGGCTCTCAGGTGACAGCCATCAGCACTCCTGTGGCACACTCTGGGCAGTGCTGCCAGTGGCCCCACGGTCTCTGTGCACTTGTTCAATCAGTAGATGTTCACTGAGTACTCACTGCATGCCAGACGTCACACCAGGCCTGGAATATGAGAGGGGACAAGACAGGCAGAGCCTTGTTCAATTGTAACGGAAATAACTGGGATGGGGACATTTCTGACATTTCTTTAGCACCTCCCACTGTCCTCTGCACCAAGCATGCGGTCAGTGTTGGCGGATCAACTCATCCCCTCCTGTGGACGGGGCTGACTAATGCTGGATCCCGCCTCAGATTGTATCAGGGCAGAGAACAGCCATCGGATCCACCCCCACTGTCAACAGAAATCTGTCGAGTGTCTCCTGTGTGCCGTGAGCACTCAAAGGGACAGTGACTGTGCTGCTTTTATGTAATCCAGATTAATTATTTTTGACTGAGGACCCTTAGCCTACTGCAGAACAAAACGGGCTTGGTTGTTTTTTAAAATGTGCCTATGACTCTCACAGCTCTTCTCCTCTCAGAAAGTCCCTGGAGGAGGACTCAGGCTGGCACATGCTGGCATAAGAAGGTGAGGGAAAGGCATTTTACTGATCTGCCACTAATCCCCCTGTGCCTCACACCCAAATCTGGGATTTTCCTGTTCACGCCTAGTGTATCCGGGGTGTACCCTTTGTCCACAATTAAAGCAGACTGCAGGCGGCTCCCTCACCACAAAGTTGCTCCCTTAAGCAGCGTAGATTATGTGTCTGGCTCTGGCTGCTGCAAAAAGCCAGTGGATTTGCTTTTGTTAGCAAAACTGCCAGGGACCCCAGCAGCTGGGCTCTGCTTTGCATACTGAAGAGCTGCAATCAAAACACAAAAGTTCTTTTGCCACTGCAGGAGCTGAGGAGGGGAGTGGATGGGGGGGAGGGCAGGATTTTATTTGTAGAAATCAAATGCCTATACTCCATCCACAAAAGCTAGCGCTTTGTCTCTCAAGAGAACCAGTATGGAAGAGCCACTGCCAGGTCCCAGAACTCTGTGTGAAAGAAAAATAGCATTTTGCTGTTATTCTTAGGGTATCTCTCCACACTCTATGATCCCTGATTAAGCTACCACCCATTTCTTGTTTTGTTTTGCTTTCGTGGGGTAGGGCTGTTTTGTTGTTGTTTGTTTCTCTGAGGCAGGAGCTCACTATGTAGTGCAGGCTGGCCTAGAACTGGCTAAAGTAGCCCAGGCTGGCCTTGAACTCATGGTAATTCTCCTGCGTTGACCTCCCTAAGTGCTGGGATGTCACGCTTTTGCCACCACACCCAACTTGTTTTACTTTTTGGAGACAAAGTCTCACTGTGTTGCCCCATCTTGTACAACAACTCTACCAATCCTTCTCCCTCAGCCTCCTAGGTAGCCAGAATTATAGGCTTATGTCACCATGCCCAGCTGCATCATTTTAAAAATGAAACAAAAGTAGAATAGAACAGAACAGAAACGAGCCAGGCATGGTGGCACACACCTGTAATCCCAGCACTTGGGAGGCTGAGGCAGGGAGTTCAAGGCCACCTGAATTACATAAACAAGTTCAAGGGCAACCTGTACTACCTAATGAGATCCTGTCTCAAAAAACAAAAGCAAACAAAAAAATAAAAATAAAAAACAGCAAACGAAACATTAGAGTACTTTGTATGATGTATGGATAGATGTGTTCAGGTTCCATTGGTTTAGTAGTTAAATATATATGTGTGCTAGAGCTGGCTGTGTACTGGATATTAACATGCACTTCTTATTGTGAGCCTCAATGAAGCCACAGAGCCCTTTTGAAAGGACACAGATGCCCAGCCTTGCCTCACACCTATGGACTCGGATGCTTGGAGATAGCTCCAGAACTCTGCATGACCCTCAGAGATACACACTGCCTTGTGTGGTGTTCTCTGGTGGCACACTAGAGGTGCTGCATCAGAGCTGGGTCTGTCCCTCAGTCTCATTTATGGGCTCTGCAACATTTGACCCTCAGTCTTATTTATGGGCTCTGCACCATTTGATTTGTTCTGTAGCCTCTCAGGACTACTGCTTCCCTGCCTGTGCTGTGTTCACTCATGGAGTCAGGGAAAGGAGGTAAAATACTGGACCCATGAACCCAGGAAGGACTGTATATATTTTTTTTTTCCTTTGTGATGCTGGGGATTGAACCCAGCACCTCCCTGTGTGCTAGGCAAGTGCTCTACCACAGAGCTGCATCCCCAGCCTTGGATGATTTCTGAGGGAAGATAAAACCTCTTGTTAGCATGGCCAGTGATGAGCTAGCCATCTCCTAGCCACACCCTACAAACACACACACACACACACACACATGCACGCATGCACACGGCTACATTGCCACAGGGCCTAGAAACTGTGGTTGGTAATGTCTGAAATGAACCCTGGGTCTATAATCTTTTGTTTGCAGTGTATTGATTCCACAAAAAGGTGACTCATGTTTGCATTTATCCTTCTGTGCCCGAGGCTGTTTTCAAAGTTGTACGTTTTAGTTTGTAGGTTTTGGTTATTGTTGCTGTTGTTTGGGTGTTTGGTTTTGCCTTTGGCTATGGCTATGGTTATGGCTATGCTAAATGCTCCCAAGTCAGCCTGTTAAACATCATTAGATGGCAAAATACCTACCTAAGAGTAGCTGGTCTGCACAGAAAGCTAGGATTCAGCTCTTACCACCTAAATTCTGTCCAAGACAGAACATTCAGTGACCTTGTTCGCTCCAGCATTTTGCCTGAAATGGTGACAGAGCAGCATGACCCCAGTTTGGTGAGCGATCATCAAAGCCCTTTCACGCCATTATAATTGAGCACCAGCAGGAGCCACCCACGACCTGGCTGTTTCTTTTTTGCTAACAAGCTTCTGTATAATAAAAATGGCCCTCACTTGAGGGGGTTATTAATTGTCCCATGACAATTCCTCCTCTTCTTTTGGATCCCTTTGACAATACTAGGATTTTTAAAATTGTTCCCAAGGAGAGAGAGTTTCAGAGAAACAGACTCTGGAATTATCGAGGCTTCTCACCAGGACTGGGAAGTCAAAGGGCTTTTACTGTTGGCTGGTCATTGGCTGCGTGGTCTTGCTGTGGACTAGCTAGAGGCTGGGGTTTCTGCCATCCATACCTTGAGGTTTTAGAAGGCAGAGGATACAAATGTATGAGCAGGAGGATCTGACTGCCAGTGGTGGGCCCCAACACGGTGTGCATCTGCATCTTCCCAGTGTAAAATGAGGGACTGGGAATGGTGGCCCACATGGGTCACACTGGAGCTATATGGCATGTCCCCGAAGAAAGATGCGAAGGCCTTAGTGCGGCTACCATCCTAGACCTGGGTGGGTCCCCGTTGCCGTCCATCTGGGAAAGCTCCTGACACAGCGCGTAGGAACCAGAAGTCCCACAAAGGGTGTTTGTCTAAAGACAGGGACAGGCCCTCCCTAACCAGACAGCCTGTGCTTAGAGACCTGTGTGGACTTTTCAACCTCAAACTGGAAGGGTGTGGGTGAGAAGAGTTTCCAAAATTAGTGGTTTAGTCCTGGCTGCTCATTAGCATCATCTGCTGAACTCTGAAAAACAACAGATGCCTGAGCCCCACCCCAAGCTGATTTAATCTGAATTTTCAGGCATGGGGCTGGGGCAATCATATTTTTCTCAAGCTCTCCAGGTGATTTTAACATGAAGCTAAGGTTTGAAACCATTCACAGACTGAGCAATTCTCAGGGATTAAAGGTACTTTGCAACTCCAGAACTCCATAACAAGGAGTTGGGGCTAGACACCTGGCTAGAGAGCATCTATTGGCTGTGCAAGACTTATTCTTTATGGTCAGCACTGGGGGCCTTTTGAAAACAAACTCCCCCATTTCTCTATGCTGAGAAATCAGAATTTAGAAAAATTGGTGTGGCTCAGAAGTTACAGGTTCTTGTGTGTGTGTGTGTGTGTGTGTGTGTGTGTGTGTTTGCAGTACTGGAATTGAGCCAAAGGCCTTTGAACTGAACTACATCCCTCTCCTCTTTTTCACTTTTTATTTGAAGACAGAATTTCATCAAGTCACTAGCCCAATGTGAGCTCATGCCTCAGCCTCCCAAGGTACTGGGAATACAGATGCGTGCCATGATACCTGGCTCAGACTTGGACTTTTTGATAGATACATCTGAGAGAGTGACAAGGGTTTGGTTCCATGTGACTTGCTGTCAAGGAAGCTTCCATTTGGGGATATGGCATAAAATGTCATGTAAATTAATTGTAGGGAATAGTACAAAGCCCACCACGGCTTCCCAAATGGCCACACTGAGAAGTCCCTAAGAATGAAATGAGACCATTTGAAGTGGACACAAGGCCGAAAACAACCAGAGATGGCCAAGAAGGACAGAGACTAAATGAGAGAGCTTCTTTTATTGGAGTATTTTATTTGGGGAAAAACTGTACCTGGAAGGCTGTCAGTGAAATTATAGTGTATAACCAGTAGAAAATGCTTATTATTATGTCTAACAAAAGTATCACAAGAGATTCTTCTGACTGGTATCCTTTCATTCTCCAGAGTTCATGGTCCTGGGGTTTGTACATGAGCAAGTACTACAGAATTTTCCCTCCTTTCCAGCAAATAGCCTAAATAAGACAATGCAGAATCAACTCCATTCATTTATTCATTCGTTCATTTTTACTTAATTTTGCAGTGGTGATGATTGAATCCAGAGCCTTGCATATGCTAGGCAGGTGCTCTACATTGACCTACATTCCTAGCCACCCAGCCCCATTTAGAGAAGTATCTGAGGGGAGTGCAAAGAGACAGCCTCTCTCAGCTGGACTCTTGGGTTGATGCTAACACTATGCTAGCCATGTAGGTGGCCCAAATATAGGCTTTCTGGAACGATCCAAGCCAATCTATAAAGAGCATGCTGAGGTATCAGCTTACCACAGCATTTAAAGTAAACCTTTGCAGTGTCTCCTTGGAGAAAATGTGGGAGTGTCCATTGCTTTTTGGGTCACTGTTATTTTCATTTGTGACATCATAAACACAGGTCTCTCCCACCCTGAATCTTCAGTAACTCCAGTGCTCACAGAATAGACTTGAAGCTGTTGGAGCCTCTCCTCCCCTCCCATTCAGCCCAGATGCCCAGTGCCCTCTGCTTTGGCCCTGCACTCTCTGAAGCTGGCTTTAAAAGGAAGCATTTGTTTCTCACAGAGCCAGATCCGGCGGCTCACCTCAGGTCACATCAGTCAGAACTAGCACCAGCGATAGAATCTACCTCTCCTTTTTGTGGTCCATGAGGCTGCTCCTGGGCAAAAAAGGCTGGAGTTTCCCGAGGAGCCCTTCCAGGGTATTTCACAGTGCAGCCCAGTACAAAGGCTTGGAACAGCGATGGAGGAGCTGCTCTTCTCAGGCAGTGACTCCAAAGCCACACTATATCTCAGGCACATGGAGCCCCACCATTAGGAGGCCCAGATCTTTCCACTCCGAGTTGCTAGTGCTCTTTCCCCCCATAGTCATGCATCCCCTTCCAGGCAGAGGACAGACCAGGTGGTGGGGGATATGCACCTGCCTGGGGTGCATATAATTTAGGGTTACAGGGAAGAGACCAGCCACCAGGTATGGTGGGCTTCTCTGTGGAGCCACTTACCTGTGAGTTTATTTACTTTGTACTTCTCTTTAACTCAATTTAAAATCAATTTCCTTTTTTCTTCCACCTTAACAGGCCACCCAGTACCTGTGAAATTGTGACTTGGATATATCAGCAGATATCTGTTACTTTAATATACATTAAAGTATACACAAAGTTAGTAAAATGCTTTTAAACTCTTTGAGCAAAATCCCATCTTAACCCATCCAACAGCCACGAGAGCCGCTGGGGAAAAAGCGTCCCTCTTTAATGCGCAAGAATAAATTTCCTTATGCACCTTCAGTATAGAAACATGATTCTCATTTTTCTGTTAGGGATTGTGAGGCTCTGAGAGTTCTGGAAGCAACTATAAGATCTTGAACAGAGAGAATGGTAGGACTGGGGTTCGAATCCGAATCACTCCTGTGCCCCTCACCCAGGTGGCAGGAGCCCCTGCCTGACCTCCCCTCCCCTCACTCCAGCTGTCTTTTCCTCCGCAGTCCACGCTGGGCTTTGTGGCCCTGGTGCTGAGCACACTGCACACGCTCACCTACGGCTGGACCCGTGCCTTTGAGGAGAGCCGATACAAGTTCTACCTGCCGCCCACCTTCACACTCACGCTGCTGGTGCCCTGTGTCGTCATCCTGGCCAAGGGCCTGTTTCTGCTGCGCTGCTTCCGCCTCAGACTTGCCAAGATCCGAAGAGGGTGGGAGAAAGACAGCGCAGTCAAGTTCATGCTGCCGAATGACTCCATCCTAACTGAAAAAACAAGCCACGTGTAAGGTGCCTGCCCCCAGTGCATTAACCCAGGTGCAGGAGGCTCAGCCAAGTCACAGTTTTCTTTTCTGGATGGTGCAGAGCAGAGTAAATGTGCACATGGGTGGTTCCAGGTGGGACTTCCTGTTAGGAAAATGTGTCCATTAATATTCAGAATGACACATGCGTGCGTACGATTTGCATGTACATGTATTTCATATATATAATATATAAAGCAGAACTTGAGGTTATACTTACTTAGCTAAAAGTTGGGTGCCTGAGATTTCAACTTGTGGATTTAAAAGCCAGATGTCAGGCAGCAGTGCACACTATTGTGACCTTTGCAGAGATATATACACACCTTTTGCAAGAACAGACTTGAGGACCTTGGTGAGTACCGTCCTTTATCCACCTCCTCCCCTTCCCTTTGGCTACTTTCCCAAAGCTCAAGACGCCCACAGCATCTTGTGACTAAGTGGTGAGGAAGATAACAGCTCTGCCTGCAGCTCACCAGGACCCTGGGGCTGAAGAGAGGCCAGTGCACAGGTTCTCCTGGCCCCCTGAGGCAGCAGGAGGCTGAGTGGAGAGGGAATTAGGGGTGAGCCTGGTCTGTGCCCGGAACCACTAAAGGCTGGGCTTTTTCCAGGTAGAGTTCCCTCCCAGATAGGAGTTACGGCCTGAAGCTGTTTCACCTGATCTTCACTGAGCTGGGGAGATTTTCTTTCCCCCTTAAAAGTCAGGAATCACCATGCAGCCTGCAAATGGTCCTCCTGTGAGGGTGTGAAATCACCTCCTTGCCGAGCCACTAATGAAGCTGCTTTTGAGAACAAGTGTAATTGCTGTCCCTCCATTAAGCTGGTGGTGAGAACTGCTCGAGCCACTGTGCCTTCTCACCTTTTCCGTTACTCCTCTCAGAAGGCAGGAGAAGGCCCCTTCCCCATCAGCCCGGGGAGGGCCCCACCACACTCACTGGGCCTTGCAGCTGCACCCCTGCTTGCTGAGGACTGTCTTCACTAGGTTAGCCCTTGGAAAGATCACAGGGTAACAGGGACCCCTGCAGGTGTCCTGTGCTGCCTCAGACCATTCGGAAAACAACAAGCTCCAAGCTTCTCCCCATGGGAATACAGCAGTCTCCCCTTATCTAGGTTTGCCTTCCTCGGCTTCAGTTACCCAAAATCAACTGCAGTCTTGAAAATATTTGTCCTGACTCTTTTAAGAGAGACACCACGTTCCACGTATTTTATTATCATATATTGCTACAACTGTTCTATTTTACTAGTTACTACTCTCTTATTAAATTAACCCTTGTTACAGATCTGTATGTTTACGAAAACTAAAGCATATACATTCAGGGTTCAGTACTACTGATGGTTTCAGGCCACCAGTGGGGATCTTGAATAAGGATGGATGAAGGGGAGGCTGCCATAGTGCATCTCAAAACGCTAGGAGGGACTTTTCTGCCAAAGATACGAATGGAAAACATTGCTGCCACACCACAACCAGGGGCCATAGGACATCTGTCCTTGGTCCCATGCCCCCGTCAATGATTCACATTGAAAGTAGAGAAGCAGCTATCATCAGCCCAAGATTCCTAAACCCCCACAGGGCCAGAGGGGACCTGCTACCAAAAATTCATCTGTGCATACACAGGTCCTATGGAGGCACCCTCTGATAGAACAGGGAGCTGGGCCAGTGAAGGCCAGCCAGAGAGTGGGGAAGCGGAGGTGCCATGTGACCCTGGGACATTCCATGTACTCATGTCTCCTGAGAACATCAGGCTCCTTCTGAGAAAGGAGGAAGCCCCAGTGCAGGGCCTTTCATTAGGCCAGGGCTGATGGGGAAAGGCCATCCACTTCCTACAGGTGTTTCCAGCTGCAACTTCCAGCTGGGTGGCAGGAATTTATCTTGAGGCATAAATTGGCCCTGATGAGAGCATCAACTTTCACTGAAAGGAAGAAGGGAGTTGGATACTTCAGCACTGCTTGGCATAATGATGGCCCATGGATTCCCATTCCCATTAATGGAAACACACACACACACACACACACACACACACACACACACACACACACGTGATCCCAACCCCAGTGGGTGTTGGCTACCTTTCTTCTCCAGCCTCACCTGCCCAGGGGTGGTTCCTTATCCCAAAGATGCTGACAGAGCAAAGGCCAGGGTACTTCCTCCCTTCCCTACCCACCACCTGCTGAAGGTGCTCATCAGGGCAGGAGGGAATGGATGGAGCAGAGGACCTGTCATGTGCCAGCCAGACAATCCACTTATGAAAGGCAGGTGGGCCGCGTGTTTAGCTCTAACCGTGGCTCTTCCCTACCTCACCAGGCAACTGGCAGTAGCATCCTTAAGACAGCCCCTCGGTAAGCCTGGCAAAGTCTACTTGCCTCTGGGTACAAAAGTGCCTCAACCCACATACTCTGGGAATCCTAAATGCCACAGTCTGAAGTTGGCTTGTAAAATCTATGCTATTGAAAGAATCCAAGTGTTTTATTCTTACCTTGTAGAACTTGTCCAAAAATAAACACTTAACCTGCCATAACTTTTAGGCTTTTATTTATGGTGCAGGGATCATGTGCATGAGGGTTTCTTGCCTTCTGATGGAGCCAGCTCTCAGTTGAGTAGCACACAAAGTGGTAGGAAATGATCTATGCTAGGTCCAGCCACTGAGGAAGAGCAGGCACGCAGACCACAGCGATAGGCTAGTGGGGGGAATGGGCAGAGTCAGGAGACTCACTCTGAGTTGGAAATAACAGGAGTGGCCCTGGCCAGTGAGGAGGCTTCTGGAGTTCTCTGAAAGCTGACGCTGAGCAGTTAAAAACAGTCGTGCTCCTCACATCAGGATGTGCCTCTGAGTCTCATGACAGTGTGGTTCAAGTACATGCTCTGGGTCTAGAAGGAGGCCCTGGATTGTTTATCACTGACCAGCTCCTGGGGACACTAACGGTGATGACCCTTGGACACTCTGAGGAAGCAGAACTCCACTGGCTCCTTTGTTTCTTCTGCTGTAGTCTGTGGCACACAAACCAGTGCATACACATCTTGACCTCCTCCCCTTCCTCATGACCCCATCCGCTGGTGTCCCTGATGGAGTATTCTTGTGCACTGAGCTGTTCCCATGAAGGGTAGAGTGAAAAGGACACTGGCCTCAGGCACATAGCCTCGCACTGTGTGACACATGTACAACACCCTGGGATGCAGCCCTGGGCCATCAGTAGACCACTTCCCTGCCATTGCAGCCAAGTTTTCCACCACATGCTCTTGGTTGGATGGAGGGAAATGAAACCTATGGCACTCTAGTGGCTAAAAACTATTTTTAGAGAACAGTAACCAAAAGAAGGCTTTGCCATGGTTGGGTCCATTGTAAGAACTTTCCATAGAAAGACCTGTGGCCAGGAAATAACTGGAAAAAAACAATGTTCAGAGTGAAAAAAATCTTGTGCTTTAAGGTTTGCTTTTCTGTTCTCTGTCCTCCCACACTTAATGCTAGAAGCATGAAGCTCACAAACAATAATAAAATTGATGGAAAATACCCACTACTCAGCTCATGTAAGAACTAGGGAATGACCAAAACAACTCGTCAGGAGTTAACTGGTCAGTTACTTGGAAAGTTGAATGTTTTTCAAAAGCACTGGAGTTGGCCCTTGGAAGAGCAGTATTTTGTGGCTGGATCACTTCCTGGTGTCTGGATCAAGAGAAAGCTGGCACCAATGGAGCCAAAATCCTCAGTCCCCTCAGACCAGCAACAACAACAAATATATTAAAAGTCACTGTTTATTCATCTTAAATAAAATTCAAATTTACCTGTTTTCAGTCTTAACCAAAACAGTAAAAATAGATTATTTATATTAACATATGTAATAGTAATAATAACATATTAAATAATAATCTTGCACGAAGTTGATTTTAAGATAGATACAGTAATATTCAAGTAAACATTAACCAGCCTAGTGAACAGCTGTCTTCCTCCCTCCAGCTGCCGTCAGGTGCAGCTTTCCTCTCCCACATGCTCCCACCATGATCTACATGATGTTCTCCCTCAACGCTGGCCCCAAATCAACAGAGCGAACTACAACCATTTAAACTCTGAGTCAAAATAACCCTTTCCTTCTTATTGACTATTTCAGGTATCTCATCACAGTGATAGCTGATAAATACAGCTCTCTTGCTTTATAACTGATGGTTTGGGATAAAGGCTAAAGCTCTGTATGTGCTGACTGTAAGTGTGTGAAACTAGGCTGGAAGTTATATAGAAGTAGAGCAAAAACTAGAAGTGCTGAGTCCATCTGGAAACATGGGAAGTTAATGGTGAGAAAGTCAGTGTCATGGTGGGGGTAAAATCCAGACTGGAGCTGAGCAAGAAGAGACGGAGACAGGAATTTGGGGCAACTCTTTTGAGACAGGAGAGGACAACAGGAGAGTAGTAACTGGAAGGGGCAGGGGGAGCCAAAAAAAAGGTGGACTATTCTCTCCTGGCTCTGGTCTGAATGTGTTTTAAGTGTTTCTAGAAAAGAATACAATGAACAGTAGTAGATGGGGGCATAACACAGAAAAGACCATGTTAGTCAATTTTTCATCTCCGTGACAAAAAACCCGAGAAAATCAACGTAAAGGCAGAAAGGTTTCTTTCCACCCACAGTTGCAGTAGTTTCAGGCCCTGATTCACAGCCTCCCTTACTCTCATGCTGGAGAGGAAGCATCAGAAAAAGAAAAAGGCATGGCAGAGGAAAGCTGCTCACTTCACGGCAGCTAGGAAGCAGAGAGGGTGAGAGCCAAGAGGAAGGGGATAGGGACTAGATGTAGCCCAAAGAATCCACTCCCTGAACCAGACCCATCTCCTCTTTCCAAAGCCTCCCATAATGCCATCAGATTATGGTTTCATCAGCAGACCCATCTGCTGCTAAAGTCAGAGCCCTCAGGCTCTAATCACTTTGCACAAGTCCATGAGCAGCCAAATCTTCAGCACAGGGAGCCTTTGGAGAACTTAGCATATCCAAACCATGACAGAGGGACAAAGAATGGGCATGAAGCAGGGGCCCAGAACATGAGGTACACAGTGGGAGAGCTTGTCCATTACAACTTAGGAGCAAAGGAGAAAGGTGAGATGCCAGTGAGGGTTTTAACTTTGATGACATGAGTGTGGCAGACCCTTCTGTATGCTTTGTGAAGAATGGTGCCATCTGCTGAGGATGACAGGGAAGGAAGAAGGTTGGGCTTCAGGACTGGAAAGGAATGACAAGGTTAAAATTAATTGTGGGAGAAAATGAAAAGATACCTGATGAGAAAAACATACTAAGATTAAAAAAAAAAAAACTTTTTTTTTTTGTCTAATTGTCTTTCCTGGGAAGAGTGCAAGTAGATTTTGTTCAGTGAAATTCTGTTTATCTCCCAGATTTCTATAATAAACCTAGATAGTTTTTCTTGGCTCAATTTTCTAATAGTTACTCAAAAATACTTTGGCTTCATTTTTGATTCTTTTCTGTTCAGAAATGAACAATCACAAATGGAACCTAGAATAAGCCAAGCAACTAGAACATCTTCTATGGGCTGTCAGCTGCCCATGGAAGGCGTAGTCAGCCCCTGTTTACTAAGTGTCGATTTCCATTTATTGGCCAGAAACCTAGCTTATTTCTGTAATTCCCATCCTATGTACAACCTACCCTTGAAAATATAATTTTAGCCAATAGGAAAAACTTCTCCCCATCAGAGAATTCATTAGGACTTCTACTTCCTAAAGGGTCTTCTTGCTACAAAACAACTAGGTCTTGCACAAAAGACATACTTTCTAAGGTACTCTCAGTGGGTAAAGGAAGTCAGCAGGGCAGAAAATAAATGGGAACACACAAGTAAACAAACAGCTCTCCTTGGCTCCTGGCAGAAGCAAATTCAAGTCCCTTCTAGTGGAAAATAATCTCAGTTCATACCAACTGAATAGGAGCTTTATATCCATGATTAATGAACTACAGATGAGAAACTACCTCCAAAGACTTCAAGAATAGAACTATCAAATATAGGATAATAACATACTAAAAATCTAAAGAATTATAAAATACAGTCTCAAAAAGTAATAAGATACTAGGAAGGACCAGGCACAATGAAATATAGAACCATTATATATAAACAACTGTTGGAAGTGGTAAGTTCAACAGAAGACTGAAAGAAATTAGTGAACTCTAAATGGAGCTAAATAAATTATCAGAATGCAAAGAAGGGCAAAGTGATAGTGAATATAAAAGCAAAGTGAAAAGACATAGCAGATAAAATTCTAAAAAGTCTAGCACACCAATAAGTGGACTTCCAAGAGGAAAGAATGGCAGAGGCTATTTTTATTTTATTTATTTTCTTATTTTGGTACCAGGGATTGAACTCATGACTTCGTGCTTGCCAGGCAGGTGCTGTGCCGCTGAGCTAAACCCCCAGCCCTGAGAGGCAAATTTTAAAAAGATAATAGCAGAGGGCTTTCTACAATCAATGAAAGACTGGAATCCAAAAGACCAGAAAGCATAATGTATGTATACCACCAGGCAGAAAAGTGAATTTAAAAGTTGTATTCAAACACATGAAGACACTCAAAGACTGTCCCCCAAAATGACATCACCTAAAATTGTGAAATTATAACAAAATTCTTAGCAATATCAGTGGAAATTTTTTAAATGCTGGCCTAAGATCTTAAAAGTGCAGAGAGAAAATCGTTAATTTAGAATTTTAAATCCAACACAAGCAATTTTTTACAATGAAGGAAAAATAAGAATGTTTTGGATAAACAAAAATAAAATTTACAAATAGTTTTCCCTAAAAAGCTTCTAAGAAATATTCTTGAAATAGAAGAAAAATGATCTCAGAGGAGGATCTGACAAGAATTAAGGAAATTATGAGCAAAGAAATTGCGACCGTGCAAATAAATTTAAGCAAATTTATTCTAGATAAAATACTTAGGTGCTTTCCTGTATACTAAAAGACTGGACAACAATAGCATGTAATTAATTGAATAATGGATAGAATTCAAATGCTTTGAGGCCCATATATTCAATTATAGGTAGGGACAAATTTTGAACAAATTTAGATCATGTTATACACACTGAAAACTATCAAGAGTAACCACTAAAAAGCTAAAAATGTAATTATAACCTCTAAGTCCCTAAGAAGAAGAAATAAAAACAAAGAAAACTTCCAATTTTCAAAAAGTAAGAATGAAAAAATACCATAGATAAAGTAAGGCATAAAAAGTAGATATTAGAAACTCACACATATGAATAAATGTGAAGCAGAATTCCATGCACCAGTATCAATCCTATGAGGGAAACACAGTTCACTGTTTACCATGGGAAGATTCGAAACTCCATACCAATTCTACCAAGGCTTCTAGATCTGGCAGTTTCCCAGGTCTGGCAGGAATATAAACATAAATCCAGTTGCCAGAGGTTTCACACAAACCTAGCTGCCGGAGTTTGGTGGGACAGGACAGGTGTACAAGTCAAGAAGGCAGATTATTACTACAAGCAGAATAGAGAGGCCCAGCACTCAGGGCCAGCCAGTGCCCCCAGAGGCAGGACAGCTGTCCAAGGCAAACAGAGCCACATCTGCATGTGACCCACTTCATACTGCAGCTGAGGGACCTTGACATGAGTCTACTGTGGGTTTTATACAGCAAGGGCCACATAACTCACTGAGCTTAAGCACTGTAATGCATCCTGTTCTGGAAGAAATGAGGATAAAACCCAGACTTCTTCCTGATCTCAGAAGGCTGCGTCTCAGCACATTCTGCACAAGAACTGCAAGAAACAATGTGCTGCTACACCAAAGACAGACCATTCTGGGACCAGTGCTTCTGCAATAACAAATACATGCAAACAGATCAAACTTTTCACCAAAAATATAGGGATTTTCAAGTTTGAGTTTTTCGATATATTTATATACTATTTATCAGTGACATACCTAAAAACTAAAAGTATAGAAAAGATATGTTAAGAAAAATCAAAGTTGAGGTGACTAGGTTATTTCATAAAGTATAATTTACTACAAAGGGCATTTTTAGAGATTGAGTCATGTAAAAAGAAAAGATTTGAGTGTTTTAGTATTATATTCATTTAATAATATAGTCTTAAATATGTAAAACTTGAAAGAAAACACAAAGGAGAGGAAGGCAGAGAAGAAGAAAGAGAAATGAAAAGGAAGAAAGGAAGGAGGGGCAGGAGGAATAAAATATGGAAAATCCTTCATCCTAGATTACAACAAATGAAAAATGTTATGTATATATATATATATATATATGTAATGACACAAAACATCGTAATAGGAAAATTCTCAAGAAAAATTAAAAATATATTAGATAAGACAAATTTGGGGATATTTGTTTGTTTTTGAGAAGACAGGGTCTCACTCTGTAATTCGGGCTGGCTTTGAGCTCACTGTGTAGCCCAGGTTGGCCTTGAACTCACAGCAATTCTCCTGCCTCAGCCTCCCAGCTACTGAGATTACAGGCATGAGCTACCATGCCCAGCTAGTAAAGCAAATATTAACAAATTTTAAAGGATAGTATCATAGATTATATTCTCTATTCAGTGCAAAAAATATAGGAAAACAAAAGGTTATATATTAAATGTCCATATATTTTAAAATATAAAATATGTGTGTTTAACTAGGTGAATTTATCAAAGGGAAATTATAATGACGTCTTTTCAATGAATCTAAATCACATGGTTATTAAATATTTGTATATTAAACAGCTTGGAATACAGTGAAAACTATTTCTTTGAAGGAAATAATTGCCCTGATAGGCACCAATGCAAAAAAATCCAATCCAGATAAAGTAAATAGAAATATATGCTACATTTAAGAATAGAAATTAATGAAGTAGGAAATAAAAATACAATAGGGAGGATCATAAAACCAAGGGTTGGTTTTTGGGTAAAGTTAACCAGGTAGATGATCATGAAAAAGGCTCAAATAAATAACTTTAGATGTAAAAATGAGACAAAATCACAGATGAGACAAATTTATAGTTAATAAGAGAATATTGCACCTTTGAAAACTTAGGCAGAATGGATAAGAATACAACTTACCAAAACTGACTAGGGAAAACAGCAAGTCTAAACATCCCTTAAAATCATTAAAAATTAAATCAGTAGTTTAAAACACACACACACACACACACACACACACACACACACACACACACACACCAGATGTTTGTGCAACAAAATTCTACTAAACTTTCAAGGAACAAATAATCATGTAATTCTATCTTATATAATCTCTTCCAACAATTATTTTAAAAACTATTCCCCAACTTATTCCATGAGGACATGAGAGATAATCAAACTAGTCAAGAAATATTTGATAAAGGAAAATTACAGGTCAACCTCATTACTAACATAAGTGCAAAGATATTAACAAACATAATCTTGTGATATATAAAAAGATCACACATCATGACTAAGTTTGGTTTATTCCAGGAATGCAAGTGTAGTTTTACATAAACTCTATAAATATCATTAACCAAATTCACCACATTAAAAATTTTTATAATCTCGATAGTGAAAAAAATGATAAAATTGAGTGCTATCATTTGAACGCATCCCCCAAAGGTGTATGTGCTGGAAGGTTGGACCCCAACATGGCACAACTGAAAAGCATTGCAACCTAAAGAGGTGAGGTCCAGTAGGAGAGGTTTAGGCCATTTGAGGTTTGCCCTTAGAAAGCATTCTTCTAGTTCTTGTGGACCTTCAGTGAGCTCAAGTGTGAGTTTTTATTAAAAGAATTGAAAGCAGCCCCTTTCCAGCCTTTGGCTTCCTGTTTCACACAAAATCTCTCCCTCTGCCTGGGTTCCTGCTATTGTAATGCAACCACGTGACGCTTTCATCCAGGACCAAATCAATGGGGCTGCCCAGTCACGGACCTCCAGACTTTGAAACTAAGAGCTAAATAAGCCTCTGCTCTTTATAAATTATTAAGCTGCTTATACTTTGCTAGAATAACAGAAAATGGACTAATACATCATTCATGATTTAAAAACAAAACAAAAAAAGAAGAGTCTATTAGCAAGAGAAATGAAAGGGGACTTCCTTAACCTGATAAAGGTAATCTATTAAAAATGTCCAGCAAATATCATTCTGTTGATGAAATGTTAGTAGCATCTCACTGAAAATTAGAAACAAAGACTAGAGATACACCTCAAGACTAGACATTTACCTGAGTGGTAGCACTTTGCTAGTTTGTGCAA